CCTTGAAAAGGCTGTGCACAGCCACGCTGGTGAGACCATAGCTGGAGTACTGCATCCAGTTCTGGGCTCTGCACCTTAACAAGGACATGGTAAAGCTTGAGAGAGTCCAGGGAAGGTCCACTCATTTGATCAGAGACTTGGACGGCAAGCCATATCAGGAAAGGCTGAGGGACCTGGGACTCTTCAGCCTGAAAAAGAGAAGGCTGAGAGGGGACCTGGTAGCAGCTTACCACTACATCAGATTCGTACATCTAGTAGGGCTGTGTGAGGCTTTGGACTGTGCTTCGGATCCAGAGAAGCTTCAGTATCTGAAGCAGCATGTCTGGATTGAAGTGCTGGATTTGTTAGGCTTTCCAAAGCAGTTCAGAGCTTCTGAACTGCTTCGGAAAAGCTTTGGAGCAGCTTCGGAGATCCGGCCATAGGGTATAATGGGGAATCAATGAAATATCTATAACTTTGTTGTTTTTTGTCTGATTTGGATGAGTCTTTCAGGACTGGTAGTCTCTGCTGAGAGCATGAAGCCTGTCAAGTTTCAAGAAGATAGGTGCAGGGTCTCGGGGGGAACTGCACCCCAAATTATTGAAAGCAAAACTCATGTCACATGTGTGTGTTACACCACAGGGAGATGAAAACTGCAGGGGTGGTGGCCCCTTCTGAGGCCACAGAGCCTGCCAGCTGTCAAGGAGATAGGTGCAGGGGGAGTCTGGCTTCTGGGGCCCTGCACCTCTGGCTGCTGACAGGCAAAATTCATGACATGAGTAACACTGCGTGTGTTAAGGCGCAGCAGGTGAAGGCTGCAGACCTGCTAGCCCCTGCTGAGGCCACAAAGCTTGCCAGCTGTTGAGGAGATAGGTACAGGGGTTCTGGGGCCATGCATCCCTAGCTGCTGACAGGCAAAACTCGTGACATCGGTGCTTGTCCAATTGACTGTCTCTGTCTTGGGGAAATTGATGGTCTGTATTGATTCTTTCCTCTTAGTCTGTGGTTTTGTAGGTGTTAATCCATGCTCATTAACTCATTATGTAGTAGCTAGGTACTGTCTATTGGGCTTTGTGGCTGCAGCAGGGCTTACCAGTCAGACCTGCAGTAGTCCCGTCCCCCCACCCCCCATGCCCCAAGACAGACACAGTTGCACAAGCACCCATGTCACGAGTTTTGCCTGTCAGCAGCTAGAGGTGCAAGGCCCTAGAACCCAGAAGCCCTGAACCTATCTCCTCAACAGGTGGCAGGCTTCGTGGCCTCATCAGGGTCTACCATCCCTGCAGCTTTCACCCTGCTGCACCTTAACACACACATTGTCACCCATGTCACAAGTTTTACTTGACCACAACTTGAGGTGCAGTTTCCCCCAAACTCCTACACCGATCTTCTTGAAACTTGGCAGGGTTCATGATCTCGGTAGAGGCTTCCACCCCTGCAAGTTTCATCCAAATCAGAGAAAAAACAACAAAGTTATAGATATTTCATTGATTCCCCGTTATACCCTATGGCCGGATCTCCAAGGCAGCTCCGAAGCTTCGGAGCCACTTTGGCCTGATCAGAGCAGGAACCTGGTCCAGAGCTCCAGATCAGATCCCTGACATCTGAAATGACTGTATCCAAAGCTGGATCAAATAGCTACCTACTCGCACAGGCCTGACATCTAGGACTTGGTGAACAACTGTTCACCAGGGCACCCTTGGGAAAAATTAATTAATGGTCACAAACTCCTGGAAGATTGTTTCAGGCTCGTTTCAGACTCAACATTAGGAAAAACTACCTCACAACTAGGGTGTCCAGACTGTGACCATTACTCCTAGTTTTCCCCAAGGGTGCCCTGGTGAACAGTTGTTCACCAAGTCCTAGATGTCAGGCCTGTGCGAGTAGGTAGCTACTCAGCCTTCTCTTTTTCAGGCTGAAGAGTCCCAGGTCCCTCAGCCTTTCCTTGTATGGCTTGCCATGCAGGTCTCTGATCATATGGTTAGCCCTTCCCTGGACTCTCTCAAGTTTTACCATGTCCTTGTTAAGGTGCGGAGCCCAGAACTAGACACAGTACTCCAGCTGCGATCTCACCAGTGCTGAAAAGAGCCAAGTAGACCAGGAGAATCGCTTCTTTGCAATGGTTTTGCTGGAGAAGCATCAATTGATGCATGCCAGCATATTGTTGGCCCTGCTGGCTACAGCATTGCACTACTGGCTCATGTTCATACTGTGATCAATTATTACCCACAGGTCTGTGGTGGCAAGTGATGGGGGATCTTCAGTCCTGCTGCCTGATCAGAGGCAGCAGTTGCACAAGCACCCATGTTACGAGTTTTGTCTGTCAGCAGCTAGGGACACAGAGCCCCAGAACCCCCCTGCACCTATCTCCTTGCCAGGTGACAGGCTTTGTGGCCACAGCAGGGCTTAGCAGTCAGGCCTGCAGTATTTTCCCCTCCCCCTCTGCCCCAAGACAGACACAGTTGCACAAGCACCCATGACACGAGTTTTGCCTGTCAGCAGCCAGAGGTGCAGGGCCCCAGAACCCAAAATCCCTGAACCTATCTCCTCAACAGGTGGAAGGCTTCAGCAAGCCAGAGGTGCAGGGCCCCAGAACCCAAAATCCCTGAACCTATCTCCTCAACAGGTGGAAGGCTTCAGCACCTCAGCAGGGGCAAGCAGGCCTGCAGCTTTCACTCTGCTGCACCTTAACATACACAGTTTCACCCATGTCATGAGTTTTGCTTGTCTGTAGCGTGAGGTAGAGTTTCCCCCAAACCTCTGCACCTATGTCCTTGAACCTTGGCAGGCTTTGTGGCCTCAGCAGGGGCTACCATCCCTGCAGTTTTGACCCTGCTGTGGCTTAACACATACACATGACATGAGTTTTGCTTTCAGAATTTTGAGGTGTAGTTTCTCCAAACTCCCTGCACCGATCTCCTTGAAACATGGCATTTTTTTTGGCCTCAGCAGGGGCTAGCATTCCTGTAGTTTTGACCATGTTGTGGCTTAACACCTACACCTGACACAAGTTTGGCTCTCAAGACTTCGGGGTGCAGTGTCTCCGAACCCCCTGCACCTATCTTCTTGAAACTTGGCATGCTTTATGCCCTCAGAAGGGGGTACCATTTCTGAAGTTTTATCCAAATCTGGCCAGAAATGACAAAGTTATAGGCTGTTTCAACTTTCCCCATTATAGCCTATGGGCGAAACATCGAAACAGCGTCAAAACGGTGAAATGTTTTGATTCACCTCATTTTGTTTCAAGGCCGTTTCGACTATATCTGTTTCATTTTGATTTTCCTGCTTTGACCTTGAACCAGGTTGAAACAGCATCAAAACACAACTGGTGGTGAAATTTTGCACAGCCATACTATTAACCAAGTACTCGCATGTTAAGTAGTAACCTAGCCACGCATTCATGCAGTTATTTAATGATGCGATAAAACAGGCAATAAGCTACAGAGTTATTACACAAAATATATTTCCCACTGGGCATGTCTTCATGTGCAATTAATGCTAGTTGTCTTTACTGTGCAGTAAATTTACTACGCAGTAAACACCTGCACATGTACATGGTGATGCTTTACTGGGCAGTATATTAGTCTCCTGCACAGTAAAGCATCTCGTGTAGAAATGGCCACTATGTCTTATATTAAACATGTGGCCAGGCATCAGCTGACTGGGGCTGTAAGCTTTGGGAGCACATGTGACCCCTTGACTCTGATGTGCTCCCACAACTGGGAGCAACAATCAGCTGACTGCTGTTCCCAACCTTGGGGTTCTTTGGAGTCAAAGGCCCTGATGTGCCCCTGAGACTGGAACTTCCAATCAGGTGCTACTCCCAGCCTCTGGGGCACAGCTGAGCCAAGGACTCTGATAAACCCCTGGGGATCAGCAGACTAGCTTGTACTCGCTGGTAAAAGGGGATCCCAGGATCATGGGGCTTCCCTTGCACTGACAGTATAGCATAATTAGGATCTGATACCTGATCCTACCATCTTGGCTCCTACAGGAGGCATGATTGTTGGGATTGTGTACCAGATATTATTGTAGCTTTAAATGAATGTCTGCCGGAGGCATAATTATAATGTGTAATTTTAGCTTCTAAAGCAGGTTGCTGGAGAAAGTGGTAACTTTAACTTCCAAGAGACTGAGGAAGTACATACAGAGAATGGGGCTTTTAGCTTCTTTGAAAAAGTACTGCAAAAGTATGGTCCTTTGCTTTGTTTGGTCTTAAGCAGTATGAGAAAGTTGTATTGGCCAGTTTCTCATCTTCAGGTGATCCTGATTCCAGGGTTCCCAGGGATATGATCTCTCTCTGCCACTGGCAAGAAATTTGCAGTCAACATGCAGGTCTTTGTCTTTTTTTTTTCCAATGGATCTAGATGGTAGTGTGACTTTCTTTGGTCTGGATGAGATCTGCTAACTATGCTGGGGAAGCATTTAGAAAGGCTTGCAGAAGTGTTGCCTGTCTCTGCTTTTCTGTCCTTTTCTGTCCTTTTCCAAGAGGGCATCCCTGTGTCCTTATATAGAAAGGGTCATTTTTAAAAATTCCTTATTTCATATGTACCTTGTGAAACAATTGTAAGAACTACTGTCTGACAAAGATCTCATAAAATCTCCCCTTATCTCAGTAACATACACATGATATTACAAATTGCTCAACAGAGAGAGAGCTTTGAAGACCATTTTTTAAGAAAAACTGCAGCTGTTTCATATTTTAGCTGTCAGATTGCTTGGCAGTTTTAGTCTCAAGAAGCAAAACCCACAAAATCTCTAAGGACTAGGCCTCGTTCCTATAAGGTAACAGGTGTACTTCATGATAGTGATTCTGATCTATAAAGACCTTCATGGCTTGGGTCCAGCTATCTGGGTGAATGCATCTTTCTGTAGTGTATCATGATGGCAATTGAAGTCAGCTGATATGATCAAGCTAATCAGTAGATATAAATGAGAAGTGACTGGTAGCAAAGCAATTTAAGTACAGAGACTTAACATCTGATATTTGTTTTTCTCATTGTTCTACCAGAGACCAAGTCTTTTGTCCTTCAGGGCTATGTGGTAGTCGTGTTTCTTTTTAACGGGGTGCTTATGAATGTGATATGCTGTACTCTAATGGTATGTGACAATTGTCTAGTGTTGACACTGATTTTCTCATGTATCTATTTTTCCTTGTCTTATTGTTAGTTTCCAGTAATTATTGTCTGAGACTATTTTTTTCCATCTCTACCTTCCTTCTCCTCCCTTCCTCTCCCTGCCCTAGAGTTTATATCAATAGGACTTAAAAATGAATTAAGATTCAGAATTAGGAAATAAGGTGTATGATATGGCTGACTTAACATGCATTTAGTTGATGCAGTTAGAGTTAAAGAACACACACACTTCATAAACCTGGAGTATGTTTGTTTCCTATGGTTATGACTTCCATCATTGCTGGAGATGGAAACAGAAGAAAAGCATTTGGGAACATCTGCTCTTTTTAAAGTAAATTGGCTTTTTTTTTTTTGTTCCATTATAGTAGTATCTAGAGAGCTTAACTTCAGTTGAGTCACTGTTGTACAATCCTTAAAGAAGACTCATGCAATTTGGGGAAAAAACCCCCAAAAGTAAGAAGCTCTAAATTGGCCAGAACTGGCTCCTTTCCAGACCTTTCGTTATATCAAACTAGTGCCGGAAGCTGGAATGTATGGGAGAAAAAATGTAAATTTTGGATTAATGCATAAAATGCTACAAAATACTTTCCATTAAAAGCTGAGGAGCCCTTGGTGTGTTTTGGTTGCTTTGGACTTGTATGCAAGTCTTGCTTCCCTAGACAGTCGCACAGCTTCTGAAAAGTATAAGTAAGTCTAGCTCTCTTTCTTTCTTTTTCCCCTTCCTTTCCTCTTCCTGTCCATTTAATAGCTATTTTCTTTAATATCACTTCCTCTCATCAGTTATAAGTTAAGGTGATACTTGTTAGACAAATATGTTAATTTATTTTAGCACTGTCTGGCAAAAACAATTTGCTATCAAATACTATTGGCAATTCCCTGAACCATGTTTTCACCATAAGAATGTTTTTTATATGTTCCTTTTTCACAAGAGAACACTTTCTTTTTAATCACTTCTACCATTTTTTTTTTTACCATAGAAACCCAAGATGTTTAGTCAGCAACAGATGCAAGTAGTGTACCTTCTAATAAATAAATAATAATAAAAAAAAAAATACAGCAGGGAAGCAGAGTTCTGACTGCAGGCATTCTACTAATTTAAAACTATTGTTTCAAAATTTGATATGATAAATATGCTGTAACCGATACAATGCATCTGGTTCATTCTGGAAGAACACGCACTAACATGGCTATCCTGTTTAGTTGTCTTACAGCAGGGGTGAGCAATTATTTGGGTTGAAGGGCCACTTAAGGAGTTTTGGTGAGCTGTTGAGGGCCAAGTGGGGGGGAGGGGGAAGTGATCCTTTCCAGCCCACTGGCTGCCACCAGGAGCCTGAGGAGGAAGGGTTGCACCATGTGCCACTGGAGTCTGCTGCAGCTGGGGCTGGGCTGGGCCATGCATTATGCAGACTCCTCTGCGCTCCCTATGCCCCCACATCCATTCTTCCCCCAAGCAGCTAGCAGTACCCTTTTGAAATAAAAATAGCAGAAAACAGTCAGACAACTCTGAAGCAATAGCGCAACAGCTGCATTGGGTTAGTAGGACACTAGACCTGGGCACTGACTTAGGCTTTGCAGATGCATCTAAATCTGGGAGAATTCCCCCATATTTCTTCTCCTGGTAGAAAAACTTACTCAGAGCTGTATGTATAGGCACTCGGATGCTGAGACTCTGAAGAGTGAAGAACTTGTAGTCCTGACACTGTGTAGTGGGGTGCGGTATCTTGGTATGCTTTTCAGTCTTCCTTTGCCATCTCCAAATACAGATGACAGGAGTGCATACAACACCTCTGACTGGATGACCCAGGTTGCCCATGGTCAGCCTGCGTTTCCCTGCAGGACAATATGGGGATTGCAAAGAGGATATAATTTTGCTTTCTGCTGGAGCAGCAGAATCTAGCGAGGAACACACTGTCTCCCTGGGAGGGAGCAGGAGATGCTGGAGGACTATGCTCTTTTCTGAGAGAAACCATGTCATGCACAGACATTTGTTCTTCCAGGAGAAGCTTGCCTGGGAGTGACTTAACCCTGGTTGTTCCCATGTTACTTATCTCTTGGAGTGATCATTTGAAAGGATTCCAGAACACTGATCTTTTCCCCTCCTCACACCCTTTCAGGAAGTCCATAGTGCTGTAGCAGCAGGTGTGTAGGAAAACCAAGCCACTGCAGCCAGGGTGGGCAGACTGTACTGAGGAAGCAGCAGTCAGGGCAGGTAAGGCTGATATACCCCCACTCCTGCTCTTTGGTCAGTGACATCCCTTTCCAATAGACTTTTTTTTTCCTTGGGACACAAAACATGCTAGTTGCATCTCTACTCAGAGGCCCTGCACAGCAGTTCTGTGAAGAACTGTAAAGCTACAGATATATTGCATGTTTAAATTCCTTAGCCCCTTGTGAAGATGAGTGTTTGCAAAGTATCCAGGTTCTACTGTGCTCACCATGTAAACCATTTTGGACTGCTTGCTTGACACTAGCCAGATCAAAGTCACACACTCATCCATATCATATTTTCTTTTAAGCAGAGCTGACTTATAACTTGTTATAGGTCATTGACTATCATATAAAGTTACTGGGCCTCAACTCTAGAAAAATATTAATTGGCAGAGTAGCCTTTGTTACATCTTTAAGAATTAAAGCAGATGAAATGCAAGGCAGTGTTTGTTCTTAATAAATTGAATTTCTGGCAGGCATGTATGCTATAAGCTAGCTCTGCTAAAGTAAGCAGCCATCAAAGAAGCATTTTATTCTCCATAAATAGCACAAGTGAATAAGCATGAGAAGAATTGAGAAAATATTTGATTTGTCAGTTGTTGTAAGGCATTCTTAGAATTTAAGAAGACACAAACAGTAAATTTCCCTCCCTGCACACTTATTTTGTACCTTTCCCATCTAAATAGATTTCTAGAGAGTACACAATGAAATATGTTTTGTATTAGGTTTGGTATTAGCTGTTTTTGTATGGGAAATATTTATCTTTGGTATTTCTCTGACAATGGGATGTATTTGGCACAGAATTAATCTGAAAGGTGATGAGGACAGAGCTTTTAAAAATGACAGATGGCTTGGTCAAGTCTACCTTCTTTTTCAGTGTATACATTCAGTCATTAAAGAGGAAAATAAAGACTTGCCTCTGCATACTTCTGATATTAGAATATAAAGAAATACTAAGACTAGTTGCACTAGGGGAGAGGTTTTAGTTTTGTTGTTATTGTTGTTTTTTCCTCTTGGTCTTAAAAGGAATGCGAGTCTAGTATTCAGAACTTTAAAAATATAAAATAGTACTATTGCATTTATTTTAATACTTGTTGTATGTCCCCTCCCTCTTCTGTGAGGGGGGGAGGGAAATAGATATATATTGGTTGGGGTTTTTTTTGTTTGTTTTTGTTTTTCCTGGAAAATGCTGATATGGGTATAATTTGTCCATTACCATTAACTATTCTTTCTCTCCTTCCATTCTTTATTCTTCATCTCTGCCACTTTTCTTGGTATTAATACCAATTAAAATTAAACAAAATATATATATATAGAGTTTAGGACTGTTGTTGGTAATATCTTTTATTGCCTCAAGTGCATGGTTGGGATAGACTTAGACAAGGTTTCAAATAGTGTACTTTCTTCTAAGAATTCTAAGTATGTGCTGCTTGTCTAAATCTATCCCTACCATACAACTGGGCCAATAAGATATCACCCATAAAAATCCTTGCCTCTCACATTTCCTCGATCACAATGCTTGTTAGGCCTGTGCGAAGCAGCTAGTATTTGCTTCAGATTTGGATTCTGCCAATTCTGGGGACAGTGATTTGATTCGGTGATTCAAGTCACTGTCCTGAATCGATTTGGCCTAATCTGATTTGGAGATTTGGCCACCGCTAACTTGGCTGAATCATTAAATCTCGGAATCAAACAGGCCCCATCCCTTGGCTACTTCCCAGGCCTGTCAATGGTTGCCCTGCCTGGCCCCAGCATCTGGGCTCTTTATTTTTTTTTAAAAGCCCTGCACTCTCTGGCTCCTGCCAAGGAGGGCAGTGATCCCAACTGCCCTGCACTGCATGGGGGGGGCTCTGCCATGAGCCCACAGAAGCCCCAATGGCTGGGGCTCGCTGCAGCGCCAGCCATGGAGGAGTGCGGAGCTTTTATTTTTTTTAAGAGCCAGGATGCTGGGGCTGGATGGGGCAGCCATTGATGAGGCTGGGAGAGCAGGAGGGGGTCAGGGGGTGCTCAGGATGTCTGGGGGAGCAGGCTTGGGATGGGGCCTGGTGGGAGTCCCACCTCCTCAAGCCCCCCACCCCTTATTTACTAGCTTGGAGCCTGGGTCCAACTCCCTGAGGTGGCGAGTGGGGACTGCCTCAATCTACTCTGATTTTTTTCCAAATCGATTTTGAATCCTTCGAATCGATTTGGACCTTTTTATTGGTTTCCTGATTTTGATTCAGATTTGGAGATTCGGCCACCAAATCGGGCTGAATCTCCTCTGAATTGAACCAGCACTTGAAGCTTCACACAGCCTTAATGTCTGTAACATCGCTCCAAAACTACCATAAATATGCATTTACACATTCTCTTTTGACAGAGGGCACGTGGACATTTGTTGTTGTTGTTGTAAAAGGAAAAAAAGAAGAGGGAATAGGAGTATGTTTTACTTGCAAAGTTAGAACAAATCAAATTTTAAACTGACTTACTAAATCCAGCAAAGCTTGGGATAGGCAATGTGGTTTCAGCCACAATTTTCTTGATGGAAAACAGTGTTAGCATTTTGGAATCTTTCAAAAATCTGATGTGGAAAGAAAAGTTTACCCATGAGGGAAATGGAGCTTTCTGAGGGTCCATTCCAAGACAGAAATACACTCCAACAGGTTCTAGAAACCTTTATAAACTATGCTATCCTCTACAAGTGCAAGGCATTCTCTCTCACCCATCTTCTCTAATGCAAACACTTCACAATGTATACATTAAATCCTTACTAACATGCTCAGTTGCATGCACAGTTCTCCCCATGGTAAGAAGATGAGAAAACAAACCATGATACGAACTTTAGCTGAACTATGCACAAGGTGACACTTATCTTTCATCATTTCAGCTGCCAGAGTAAACAGATTGCTTTCAACGTTCTGTGGTCTTGGAGCCTTTACATTCTCTCTGGCTAGTGTTCCAACTGTTGGGACAGAATGCTTGACAAAGTCCGGCATCCACCCATAAGGAACATACAGCCTGCCTATAAACATAGTAACAAAGAACTAGATCCTCAATGTGCTAATTAAATGTTCATTTGAGCTAAAGAGAAAGAGAGATGGATTAGTTAGAGCAGTCACCTGAGAGTTCAAGTCTCTTCCCCAACAGATAATTATTGATATAAGGTAGAACAGCTGCAACAGGGTAGGATTGGGAGGGACCTACCCCCACAATAACTGATACATTGGTAATTTAGGACTGTCATCTGGGATGACAAGATGTGTTGGCTCAAGTCTCTGCTGACAAGGAATTGTGTGGATGCATCCACACATGCAAGCATGTGCACTTGGGGACTGCAGAACCAGTAGAAGCATCTGCCCCTCTGGGCCAGCAGTTTGTGATTGCAGGGTTGGCCTTTGTGCGGCACTACTGCCATTTGTGCCCCCTGCCTGCCTATCTGGGCAGCTATTGACTGGAAGATGTTCTGGGTCTGGTGGCCTGCTTTGAACTGTCAAAGCATGTCCTCCTGGCCCCATTTGTCCAGCAGGTCAGCCACAGCCACATGGGTCCAGGGTGCCAGCTCTGAGCAAGCAGGGCCCTGCCACTGGCCTCCCTAGCAGGAATTCTGGTGTTCCCTATTAGAAAACTGAAAAATCCCACATCCCCCACCAGTTGCTGCAGCCCCCCCAGTGGCTGCCCCACCTAGACCCACCCCCCCAACTTGCACCCCCAGGTCCCCATGGCTACCCCCACAACCCCAGGCACCATCACTTAAAAAAAAAAAAAGCTTCTGCTTGCCTTAGAAGCGGGGGGAGGGGGTGGCTCTAGGGCCTCCTGGCAGAGTCCGCCAGGCAGCACAGGACAGTGGAGGGGCAGGAGGGCTCAGGCTGGGGCTGTCACCCTGCCCCACACTGTGTGGCTGACCCCACTCAGCCAGATGGCAGCTCCAACTTCTGGTAAGTACTGGGGTTTGTTTTTTTTTGTTTGATTTGTTTTTTTAAGTATGGGTTGGGGGTCAGGGATGGGGGAGCTTGGGGAGCTGGTGCCCACCCCGGCAGGGCTGGATGTTCAGGGGTCTAATTTTCTCCCTGTGCTGCAAGTTTGCAGCATGGGAAACATTTTTTTTTGTTCCCGCACGTGTCTGTTGCCCCACCTCAAAGGGGTTTGAGGCAGGGCAAGAGGCACATGCGTGCTTGTGTGGACGCGCTGTCATGGAAACACACGCAGCATACTTTTGGGTCAGGTCAGCAGAAGCTTTTATTCAAAAGAAACTACAGCTGTAGGGGGGATTCCAAAGTGACATGGATTTCCCAAGCACTTGGAAGGGGTCCCCCCCAAGAGCAAAATCAGGAGGCTTATATACTTTTTAACAGTTGCTTACAACTCACGTGATCATATAGTGAAATTAGCATGAAAAGCGGCTATAATATTACTTCATTATTTCTTTGCTGTAATCAGGATGGGAACTAATGGGGGAGGTGAGGTTAGTTCACAAACCTCCTTCTTGTACCTGGAAATCAGATTTGTACATACTTTTTTGCTATCTTCAAGGCCGCGGTGAGCGAAGCAGTTGCAGAGGAGTTACAAAGAACAAACACTTTCTCTTATCTGTTCTACTATACAGAGCCAGCAATTCTCCACAAAGCGGTTATGTCATCTTATAACTAAAATAATCAAAGTTTAAGGCATATATTTTTTCTGATTCCACAGCACCCTGTGTGGGTGTATATATGTACACCCACACAGACGCATGCTCTATGCCCTGTGGGGGTCTTTTGTACAAGCTGTATGTAGCCTAGATGTATTCAGTCTGTACCTCTGGTATCAGATGGGAGCTTTGGTTTGAGCTAGAACTCCAAACAGTTTGGTAGATATTAGGTGCTGGCATCACTTGGGGAGCTTGTTGATGCCCTTTGGTCGAAATCTAGTGTGTATAGCGCTAGGGAGTAAGTACATGGTGCTGCTGAAATCTCAGAACCACAAAAGTGGTGGACCCAGGTGCCTATGAACAGTTGAGGATCTTGGGTTTAAGTGATAAAGATGGAAAGTCAAGCTAGCAATTTTGTACCTGCCGAAGTCATATAATTGTGAACTTAACTATAGTGATGTTCCTCAGCATTCTCCTGCCTGTTTCTTGTGTTGGTATCTTCTGAAATGTACTGTTCAAGGCTGGAATAGAGCCATGCTCTGGCACAAAAGCCCATTTGTGCATGCAGCTTGTGAACTCCTGCCATCACGCAATAGAATCTCTAAGACTACCTGCATCTTCAGTCCACCCCTGTGTAAACTGTACCCATAAGCTTTAACTATCAGAATATGCCTGAGGTGCTGGATAGTCAGGCTCCTCTATCTATTGTAAAATCAACTGACCTCTGCATATGGAGACCATAATTTTACAGTGCTTTTCAGAAATATGTCCCTTTATGAATCATTTATGTAAACATCAAGAAATATTTCCCCCCTACATGCAGTGCTGAACAATAGGCAAACTATTCAATTAATTTCATCTTTTCTTTTAGAGGAGGAGGCATTAGATACAGGATCATATTACTGATTAGCCAGTATATTGGCTATCATGACAAATTCCATTTTCCCAATAGTTATTGCTGCTACTATTTTTGTTTGCTTCATTTCTAGTTACAGCCATTATTTCCCACTCCCCCCCCCCACCTGTATGTAGACAAAGAACTTGCACTGGAGCTCCCAGTATGAGAAGCTTTGCTGCACTGCTCCCATCACTGGGCTGCCAGGGAGCAGCACAGCCTTCTGCCTGCTCTTGTAATCAGAGTTCTCAGTTCAAGAAGCAAGTAGCAGCTTTGCTATACTTCTTGCTCTGCTTGGGTCTTGGGCACCAATCCCCTGCTTGCTTCTCTTTGGCCTGTGCTAGCCCTCCCCCTCACCCCGCCCCCAGCAGAGATGGAAGAGGAAGTCAGCCAGCTGTGGGGATCCAGGCTAGGAAAAGATGCTTTGAGTCTGGTTGCCAGCCATGCCAGCTTTAAATTGCTGCTCCATAACTCAGCTGAGAGGCTAGAGGAAGCCAGCTGGTGAGAAACCAGGCTCAGAGAGGATCTTCCTGGTATAGCAGGTCAGAGGCACTACTTGAGCTGGAGTCCCAGGTGTATAGAGCTGTTGGACCCAGACTTAATTAGCACTAATTTAGGACTTCCCAATTAATGGCTGACCCAACAGTCTGGTTCCAAAAGGGGTGATTTTTACTCCCCCCTGCCCCACCCGGGCTAACAAATTGAAAAGGTGTACCTATCACCACCCTATCAACCCAGCAACTGATTGTAGTATGACTAAATAAGGAAACTCGCACACTGATGTGTTACTGACATACATTAATCAGTTTATTAATAGCAGAAAAATATAGAAAGCAGGTACAACAAGTAACAACATTAACTAGGAACCAAGTATACACCTAATAAAACTATTCCTATTTTACACAGACATTTGTGTATGGTCTGGAAGCAGGGAGAGTTGGGAAGAGATGCTCTAGGGTATAAAACCCAGCAACTATGACTAAATAAGGAAACTCTGATGTTACATTTACACTGATGTGTAACTTGCACAAATTAATCAGTTCAGTTGTTTGTCTTTATTCATCCTCCATAAAAGGTCCAATAACTTCTGAAAGCAAAATAGTTCTTTTCAAAGGAAAAGTTGAGGTAAAATGGCACCATGAGAGAAACATTTACATATAGCTTCTAATGGGGGTGGAGGGAGGAATCAGAATTGAGAATAAATACAGAAAATAATGTTATCATAAGGTTGTTCTCAAAGTGTTCTACTTTGAGGTATTTTCTACTGAAAGCAGCAGCTACTATTAAAATGATTTTTATCTTTGTGATGGTATGTGAAGCTGTATTCAATCTTTGTGTCACTGCTGACCTGAGCTGAGAAAATTTGTAGAGATACACCCTAGATTTACCTTTTATACCTTTTCAATCATCTTTCTTGTAGCTCTCGTTCTACTAACACAGCCTCAGCAGTCAATTTGTACTCTGCCACTGATAGGAAAACCTCAAAGGAAGATAGAGGACACCTCCTTATCCAAACTACAGCTGAGAAAATACAGATTCTCCACAGTCCCCTGCCACAGAGCAGATCTGGAAAAGGCAATTATGACTGAAGCCTTTGACTGTCCTAGGTGAAGTGTTCTGGCTTAGATAGGCTGAATGAGGTCCTTCACCTACCTGAGATTAGCCTAGTTAACGGAGATAGTCAAAGGTTTCACCAGTTTTATTTGATTGTTCAGCAACATTAGCACCACAGTGTTCACTAACACAATCCATTCTGATGATGTGAATGAATATCTCTTCCTCATCAATCTGTAACAAGAATAAAATTGGATGAAATATGCTTAAAAGTATGCTCATTCAGTACAGAACAATGCCATACTAGAACCAGCTAACATCACTGAAATTGGCATGCATTTTGAAAAAAGGGAAAATATTCTCCGCCTTCTTAATATTTTAAATCAGCTCAACAGAAATAATTTCACAGACCTGTAAAACAAAGCTTCTGCCGAGCTATAGGATGGGTACTGCTCAAGCAGTAGTGATAACATCTTCCCTATAGGAACTTCTCCGAGTGTCACCCGCATCCTTGTTGTAGTGGAATATTACTGCAGGGACAATTCCATCTCCATCTTCATTTAGAACTTGGCCTTGGGCTGAGGCTGTCAATGTGACACTTGCAGTTAAACATTTCTGCCAGTCATTAAAGGGATTTTTGTAATTGGATATCTGTTCACTGGGCATAAGGCTGATGCCATCTATTAAAAGTTTCAGTCAGCCCACCCTGAACCATGAGATATGGCATCATCACTTAGGCTCTCTAGACTCCCCGAAACACAAAGAAAGTGTTAATATGAACTTAAATTTCCTGGAGATGGATGAGAGCTTTTTCTCTATGGACACTGAGGGTTCAGTGAAGGCAGTTAATGCTTGCCATGATGTTAAAGCAGGTTGTAGTCACACAGAGACAGAGTAACTTCTGGAGAAAAAAAAAAGCATAAGTTTTCCAAATCTTTGTCACAGTAAGGTGATCCATCTCCTACATCAGTCCACAGGGTACAGTTCAATACTTTTTTGCATATATCTGGGCAGTTATCTCAGCTGGAATGGGTATCATTAAGCCTCCAGCCTTGCACCATTAAAGAGTCTAGGCCCAAAAGAAGAGAGTCTTTATACATATTAATTAAAGAAAAAACAGGAAAAAAAAACAAACAAAATCAGCATTTCCCTGTGCAGAAACAGTGTGTGTTTCATATATCAATACCTATCTAGTTTTAATCTTGTTTAGAGCATATCCATAGTTGCTTATGACTCAGTTATATTCTTTAGTACACAGTGATTAATTTGATTCCAGTTGCATTTGATAAAATAGGCAGAGTTTCTCAGTTTAATAAACCAAAGAATCTGACTCATGAATCAATGTATCTGCTTTGATCATGTTTTATTTTATAGCACAAGGTGGTCCCCCCCCGACCCCTTTACACTCTTATACTTGTACATTTCATATGATTGCATCCAATGATGATATAAATCTACTGCATTAGAAGATAGGACAATGATTAAAAGAAAGCAAAGTCAGTAGTTAACAGCTTGTCTCTTCTTAACCCTCTGAAGGCTTTAGGGTTATTTATTTATTTATTTATTTTGCAGATTAGTAAGAAAAAAAAAATCACTAGAAAAAAGGTGCTTTTAAAACATATTTTCCAAGTAGCTTTCTCATTTTCTTCTGAAAACACTACTTTTAATGCACAACAGAGTGAGGATAGCCCAGTGGCTGGAACAAGTGTCTCACAGTCAAGAATATGCTAGCTCATATTCCTATGTTGTAAATGCGAGTGGACTAAGGTCCAACATAAAGTGAATCAAACTACTGGGGATTTGGAAGACCATTCTGTTCTGTTCTGCAGAATAAACTTTACTCAACTGTACACGTACATTTCCCATCAGATTTAAGGGAACTGTGTATACAGGTTCAAGGGTAGAATTAAATTCTTTGCTGGTAGACAAGGAGTTTAATTTTCTATATCCTGTAAATGTGTTGTTTTATTCATAGGCAGACCAGGTTCCTTGGGTGAATCTGATATCTTTTATCAGACCAACCCAAATAGTTGGAGAATAGTTATTAAGCAAACTTTCAGGTTCAAAAACCCTTCGTCAGGCTAAGGAAGTTTCAGCAGTTGATGTGTGTTCTTCCTGGATGGAATGAAAAGATTTAGGATTTTTAAAGTATGGAATAAGAAGCTTATCCTGAGTGCCTCTCTGATCTTGTTAACAGGTGAATAAAAGATCACATAAATTAATAGATAATAGAATAAAAAAAGGATAAGAGAAACTTGAAAAACTCTTTTGAAGTGCGAAGGAAGAGTGGAAAAACAGGTTAGACAATTTAGTTGCTAAGTCTATTGCACTCAGTTGGGAATCTAGTTCCAGAATGAACTGGCTGAAAAATGTTCCCTTCCCTTCTCTTCCCTTCCCTATAGCTATCCAAGGCTGCAGCAATAAAGAAATCTAAGCACAGAAAACCATCCTAGACTGTCACTGCAAATATTACTTGGCAAAGTGATTTTGACTCATCTTGAGAACACAAAGGCAGTCTGGCATTTGCAAGTGAGAGACCCTAACATAGGCCAGGATTCAACGGTCCCATGCTGCGTGGTTAATACAGTAACCCTTTCTGACTCATCCATGAAGAAAAATTATGGTCTAGAAAATGCAGCTCACAGCTGGAATCTAATCATAGCTGTTCCAGCAGGCATTTACAAAAAGTGTGATTTCAATAGGATTTCTGTAGGCAAGACAAGAAGACAGAGAGCAAAGTATTTTATTATGTATTGTGTTTTAGTTGGCATTTTTTGATAAGGGAATAATAAAAGTGTTGCTTATTAACTTGTACATGAAATTAGGCCTATACCTAGAGGGAGGTTATCTCTGGCCCTCATGCCTGTCTGGTTTGGTCAAGGCACAAAGGTTCTGTAAGAATTTAGGTGCAAGTTAAGCACACAAATAGTTTCAGGGATCAGGGACTAAGACTCATGCTAAATATCACCCAGGCCCAAATGTAGTCTCTCCAAGAACCACACAACCAATAGCTAATCCCAGAGAGTTAAGAACAAGTCAGGGCTATTGCCTAATTCCTATTAACCATTTGTTTTGAAGAACTGTACACAAGGAGCTAGGTGTAACTGATGTGTATTGCTTCTACAAAACTCATGAACAATGCCCTATATTGTGTATCATCTGCCAGCTTTTTATGTCAAAACTATTGACTTGTTGGTATTAGGTATTGTAGGCTTTGGTATTCTGCCCTCCCTGGAATCTGGCACCCCTAGTGGCCAGACAGGCCAGCCCATATTCCCCAGCCACCTCTGCTTTTATCTCTTGCCATGACTGTTGCATATATGAAAGTGGGGCTGCCTGTAGGAGTCAGGGTGGCCTATTCATTGGTGTCTTTTACTTCTCTGCCTTCACCCCATGGGTATATTCCCTCATTAAGAGGGTCTTAGTCACCTTAGGGGCTAAAAAACGTGATCTCTAGCCACCCCCCATGGTCACACTCATAGATTTCATAGACATTAGGGCTGGAAGGGACCTCGGAAGATCATCGAGTCCAGCCCCCCACCTGAAGGCAGGAAGTAGGCTGGGTTCATAGGATCCCAGCAAGATAAGCATCCAATTTTTTCTTGAAGGTGTTCAGTGTAGGTGCTTGAACCACATCTGATGGCAGGCTATTCCAGATCTTGGGGGCTCGGACAGTAAACAAATTCTTCCTTATGTCGAGCCTGAAATGGTCTTGCAGGAGTTTATAACTGTTTGACCTAGTCATCCCCTGGGGCGCTCTGGTGAACAAACGTTCCCCCACATACTGGTGGTCACCCCTGATAAACTTATAGGTGACCATCAGATCACCCCTGAGCCTGCACTTTTCCAGGCTAAAGAGCCCCATAGCTCTCAGCCTGTTGTCGTAAGGTCTGTTTTCCTGACTTCTGATCATGCATGTGGCTCTTCTCTGGACTTTCTCAAGCTTCTCCACATCCTTTTTGAATTGTGGAGCCCAAAACTGGATGCAGTACTCCAGCTGCATCCCCACCAAGGCTGAGTACAAGGGGAGAATGACGTCCTGGGATTTGCTTGAGAAGCATCTATAGATGCAAGCCAGCATTTCCGTCACTTTAACAGCTGCAGCATCGTATTGAAGGCTCATGTTCATCTCAGGTGACTCTCATTCACCCCTAGTAGGGGATCCTAGTCCCAAATACAGGGACTATACGTTCCTGTGATCCCCACAAATGGTTCATGAATGCAGTGCCTCTGGCGGCTGGAGGGGGCACGTTGATGGCAGCAGTGGCAGGAGCCCGGCAATGGTGGTGGGAGGCCAGTGGCAGCAAGCATGGATCTCCTGAGGAGCTCTGGTAAGTATTTAAAGTGTATTTAAAATGTGGGTTCGGCATTTGCGAATATTTGAAACCGTGAATGCTAAACCCATGAATACCGAGGGTTTCCTGTAGACATTGGGGCTCTCAGGCCCCAAATCCTTGTCTCTTCTTGACCTCTGCTCTTTTTATCTGGTTGAACTGTCTTAGCTCAGGTCCACTGCTGAGGCCTCTGGGTTTTGGGGCAGCCCCACGTGCCTCCAACCAAAGCTGGTTTCACAAGTACAGAGTACTCTTGGCATTCTGCTCTGTACTTCCCAACCTCCCCTACAGCCACAACTCAATCCTCTGGTCACAAGCTTAAAGAAAAGAAAACTAACACACAAAGGATTAACCATCTGGTTCTCAAAATCAACCCTCACAGGGTCATAACCACTGCCACCTTCATAAGGAGTGGTGGCTTTGACTTCCCCTCCAAACCAAGGGTACTTCCTTTTTCCCCTGGCAGCCAGGTCTGCTTCCCATCTCCTTCCCTTGAAGCTTGCAGGCCTGGACTGCCAACCCCAGCTCAGAGTGGGCTTAGAATAATAGAAAATTAGGGTTGGAAGGGACCTCCCTGCTCAAAGCAGGACCATCCCCAACCAAATCATCCCAGCCAAGGCTTTGTCTATCTGGGTCTTCAAAGCCTCCAAGGATAGAGATTCCACCACCTCTCTGGGTAACATGTTCCAGTGTTTTACTACCCTCTTTGTGAGAAGATTCTTCCTAATGTCTAACCTAAACTTCCCTTGCTGCAAATTGAGA